AAAGTTGTATGGTTCGGAGGGGGACATAAGAAAGTATCATTGATTTGACCTTGGGTAGCGTCCCCAAGGTTAAGTCAAGGTCACGTTGATTTTTTCTCCCTCCGAACCATATAACTTTTGTTTGAAACTTTTTTTCGTATCTACCATAGTTTTCGAGAAATCTTAATGCATTATTTAAAATGGGACACCCTGTATATATTTATACAAACACGTATTTAATAAATGTAATTATTATATGTATTTTAATGTGGAACCGACAGTGTGAAAAAAAGATTTTCCATGATGCGAGCATAATTTCATGTATAAATTTCTAATACGTCGAAACGATGCACGAGAGAATCAATTTTTTTACTATATACTTGACAACGCAAATTGAAGCTTTCACTTCTTGCACCTCTTTCATTAATTATACTATTATCCTCGTAATAACGATAAAAAAAAAGGAATTTGCATTTTGGACCATACACTTGGCATATTCGTAGGTATTTTGGAGAATTCAGCATGGAAAGAGTCATCGATGCCGCCCAGTGGTCGATTTGGAAGTGAACTTTCTGATTCTTCGAGCAGCGAAGCGGAGAAAGAAACACACGGGGTCCACTTTGTACTAGGTGATGGACCGGAAGAGTCCGCTGGAGCCTCCGGAAAGACTGCGCCGTACAAAGAAAAATCCAGCATTGTACGTTCTTATAGTCAAGACACAAACATACTGGTCAACGAGGATCATAAGGGTTCATCGTTTCTACCGAAAACGTCGTATTCGGAAAATTCCCTCGACATTTCGGATAGGTACAGTTATCGTCCTGCAACGTCGTTGACGACTGCAATGACAGCAGCGACGACGATGACGACGATGACAACGACGGCAGCTGCAACTACAATTACGGGCGCTAAAAAATTGTTTAAGGAATTACCTACAGTAATGTCAGTCGATGACGAGACGCTTTCTACCGATTCTAATTCTACCGTCGACAACGATGAGCTTAAACGAAGGCGCAGGAAGTTACACTTTCCAGCCTTTAGGAAGAACAAAACTAAAATCACGTGATGCCCGCTAGTCACATAATCTTATTTGTTACTTAATTGCTATCCATTACAATTAGTTGTAATCGCGACATGCACTTAAGAATTATTTTATCAGTAATTATTATTTGTTAGTTATTATTCATGTGACGTACACAAACACATACATTCTCGGTTTCTCGTTTTCTTTATTTTTTCTTTTCTCTTTCTTGCCTTTTTTTCTCTCTTCCTTTGCGCGCGTATAAACTCACAGAAACGTAACTGTTGTTTAGGATGTTTTTTGCCCCGGCGCGGTGTTCCTTCTACTTTGCCAAACTTGCGTACGTGCAAAATAATAATGAAAAGTGAGTCAATGGATACACCGGACATCCGACCTAGATAAATAGATTTTTAGAATTGCAATATTTGAAAAGTTTTAATATTGTGGCAATATATATTTTCGGTATGTACTTTTTAGGAGACTAAGGATGCGTTCCGAGTTACGCATTAAGCGCATGATGTATCATTTGTCCTTGTTCATCAAATAATGAAAAAGGATTAACATTAAATGATACATCATGGTCTTCATGCGTAACTCGAAACGCACCCTAAAAGTTTTCCAAGCTGCAAACTTTTATGAAGTAAGATTTTTTCATGATGACGTTAGTAATAATAATAATAATTATTATTATTGTTAGTGTAATCTTTTTTATCACGATATAATTCCGTAGTTTTAGTGATCGTCTAGGTACTGGGCTGGGCACAAATTCAAGTCAAACTCTTGTCTGTTGTAATTGCTTTTACGTATCATGTCATAAGATATATGAATAAGGATACAAAGCTACATCGCGACAAGGATATCTTTGTAAAATGATTCAAATTATTAAAATTATCGTTAATTCTCATACCGTCCGTATATACTAGTAATACATGTGATTTACTTCGGCACTTTGACAAAGCGAAAACGTTATAATACAAATTTTATACATATACATATTTGTAAATAGATTATAAAGTACCGTGCAAGAATTTTTCGCAAACGCGCGCTAAAATAGTTATAACAAAAAGACTTTCCTCATCTTATACAATCATATCCTATGTCTGTATATATATATATATACATATATATGTATGTGTGTGTAAAACAGACAACATTGGCATCTGACCCAAATTACATCTTCAAACTGTAAAAATCTTTATGCAAGAATATGTATATCAGATAAATTTTAAAAGATTAACCATGCAATCATATAGGATTTTTCAGTAAATTTAGATTGTGTGAGCAATTTAAAGTCCTGTTTCTTTTCATTCGTTTTTGCTTCAAATCTTGATGCCATTAGAACGTAATCATTGTGTACATAATTGATGTATTTTAACATCATACTTTACCTTCAGTTATATGCACTCAGCTCAGAATCAAACGGTTTACAGGATGGCTTACATCATAGCGAGGCTGGGACTCTGTAATTTTAGTAATTTGTTAAAAAAATTACTGTTATTTTACGCTCGCATGAGTGCGTAAATATAATAATATAACTTTCCCATTATGTTAGATTCGTTTGCAAAAGATCTTTTGGCACGTTAGTTTATTTGAGTTGTGTTGAATCCGATTATTCCTTTGTGGTCTGCTCAAATATGTTAGTGCACGATTTTTATCTTTATAACAAAATTGTTTTGAGTGACTTCGGTAAAAAATTTGTAATTTTGTGACTAGACTGACACATTTCAATTTCAATATAATTCAAAAATTTTTAATTATAAAAATCTTTCATTTTGTCCGAAGGTAATATTTGATTGCTAATGTACGCTGGTAATTGTATAACTTTGGTACTGCTTATACAATTATACTGATTATACACTAACGAATAACGATAACAAATAATTTTTTGGAATGCTGTATCTATAGTAATGTGTTTGAGCATCAAACTTGTTATCTTATGCAAAAATTTATACTTAAATCGAAGAATTATCAATCTTATTAATTTATTTATTATTGTAAGACAATAAATATGCAAAAAAATGAGATTGAAACGTATCAGATTTGTCATAAATGGTCGCTAGCTCTTCACAAAATGTTCTTCCTTAGAGATTTTTGAAAAATGAATTTATATCTATTTATAAAGGACAGTTTCTAAGGCTATGTGTATCTCTATGTTATTTTTGAAATGAATAATAGATTTGACCTTATTACTTATTAAAGCAGTATGAGTAAAGTTATATATGAGGATTTCATCCGTACTACGTTGTACAAATCTTCGTTAAAGTTGAATATATACAAATAGATATTTTAATGTATTTAAATTATATTCTTGATATAATATTATGATGTCGCAAATACAGCGCGTCTTCCTTGGAATATGAAAGTGACTTTTACAAAAATAAATGAATCAAGTTCAAAGAATTGTCAAACAATTAATAACCGAACGTATATAAAGCAAATAATTATGTTACGTTATAAAATGAATAATTGCGTAGAACTACGTAAAAAATTGTATTTCCTTTGTATATATGAATGTGACGAAATTTATTTTATAATTTACGTTATATTATAATTTTGTTTCTATTATTTTATTTTAAAAACTAGCCAATTGACAAAAAAATAAACCAAAATTAACAAAAAAAATGCTTATCAATCGATCAATTTCACAAAGGTTTTATTTGATTTTATTTTAACATCACACATGCTATTATCAACTACTTCTATCAAACCACTCGAGAAAATTCACAATTATCGATTAATTTTCGATGTTATTCATTTAATTCGTTTATGCAAACTTATGTTTCGAAATGTAAGTAGTGGCCTATGTATGTACATACGCAGAGTTTACACTTAATAGCGATGAACGCAACGCTATTCATACAATAAAATATATAATTTGCCAATAAGGCGATTTTTGGCGTGCTTCTGGCATAGAAACCAAAAGCAACCGCGGGACTATCTTTGTCTTCTGATCCCTGAAAATGAAGATAGCCTCAACCGCAGTTGCTTTTGGTTGCTATATCAGAAGCACGCCAAAAATCGCGTAATATAAATAAGCATCCCGCCATTACAACATTCAAACACTGCGTAAGAGGTAAACTGCGATTTGGCTCAAAATCTAAAGCTTATTCTACAATTGCGTAAGCGTAGTTGTAAGTGGTTGTAATTCACAGCCGAGTACGAGGAGAATATTCCACTGTGATTGGTTAATTCTTACGACTACACTTACACAATTGTAGAATGGGCTTTATACTTAGGACGGTAACACCGTTGCGATAATTTTTTTATTCATTATAAGTCGTATAATTCATAACATTTATGTACATATATATTATCATTATATATATATTGTATATGCATATAATGATATATATGCATATAGGTTTGATGTATATAACAACTATCGAATGACTACTAGCCGAGACTAGTAGCTAAAACTCTTTGACCTACGATTGGTGTAAATGGTACAGAGTTAAAAAAACTCATAATCAGTCTTATAACGTAAAAGTATAAATATATAACATATATACATACATATACATATATATACGAACGGACGGACTACTTCGTTAGACGTGTATACAATTAACCGAAATGGATCAGTGTCGATTTGACGTCCGACAAATCTGATTGCGTTTCGTCACAAGAACGATTGCACTTATTAAATCAATTCGTCTATTACTTCTTAATAACGTTTAGATATATATTCGTTGGTATTCCATTAGAGGAAAACAAATCTCGTTAAATCTTCGTTAAATTTTTTGTTTAAAATAGATTGTAACATCGAATAAAAGAAATGAGAAACATATTTAATACCGTACGGTGATAATATACGTAACATCTAGCACGTTTTCGTTTTCTACTTGATCGCTTAAGCAACAATTCTAAAGATGTACAAAATGGCATAAATATAAATATACGTACATATAACTACACGCTACGCAGGTATACCAGCGAAGGTTGTTAATACTGAATTTGTCGAAGAATTCGCTCGACGAGAATACATTTAAAAAATGCGACGCATATTACGTATGTATAATACACAAAAATATATATAGTTAGAGATAGAAATATTTAATTTGTCGGTGTATTCTCGTCATCCTGTTGATCGCTGGTCTCAGCCGCGGAAGGTATCGTGGCGAGTAATCTAACAGCCAGTCTTCCCGGAGATCCTGGAGGTTCCGGCTCCTGGATAGCGAGTTGACGAGTTAGTCGCGGTTTCGGTCTAATCGGTCTCGGCGTATTACGCGCGTTAATTTCTAGAGAGGCACTAGATCTCGAGATGCGCCAGGTACTGGTGCTGGCAGTAGTCGCGGAACCAGAAGAGTCGTTACGCGAGGAGCTTAAATTCGAATCCTGCGACGGTTTCCTAGTGATCAACCAAGAGGAAGTCCTTCGTTTTGGATCTAGCAATCTAAGCGGAATGCCGCAATGATGCGTTTGTCGCCAAGAATCCGATCTGGACGAAGAGAAATTTTCGCTGGATGACACCGAAGATGCTCGTTTATGCTGCTTCTGTTGAATCTGGGCGATCTGATAGGCGTATTGATCGTTATGCGTATGCCGTGGCCGAGAGTCGCGTGTACATGGCCAGAATATTCCGGCGCTCCACCAACGGTAAGATGAGCAACGGCTTCCAGTTTCCAGGAATCTCGAATTGCAAGTGCACGGTGTTTGAAGTCCCTGATTCTCTCGTGACGACCGATCGACGAGGCTGTTTGTATTGGCGGGTGTCTGCCGATTGCTAAAATTCGAACTGTGTCGGCACCTGCCGATACCTCGGGTCACACGTGACTCCTCGATTGCTTTGCATATCAGCACGCAATCCTTCTTAAATTGTTTTGTAAGGATCGCATATAGGAAAGGATTGCAACAAGAGTTAAGCGGTAGCACGAATACCGCGAAAACTTTCGCTTGTTCCAGAGACACTAACTGCAATCCGAAGGTTGCTGTGAGAGAAAAGAAGGCTATCGGTGACCAGCAGAGAAAATCTGTAAATACGAGCAGCGCCATTCTCTTCGCTATGCGAGAATCGTTCGAATTCCACGCCTGGGAGCCTCGTATCGCGCAGTACATCTTCAAGTAACACCCCATTAATATCAGGAAAGCTACTCCGTTAATCAGCATGAGAAATACGACGTATGCGAGTGCCGCGCTGCCATTAGTTTCGAATGGCAAGCAAATAGCGAATTTTCTATAATCCGAAACTCCCAATAGCGGCAGGCTCGCCATAGACAGAGCAAAGCACCAACCTATCGTCATAATATAGCTTGCGTGCTTCAAGGAAAGTCGCTTATTCAGATGCATCGCGTGCGTTATCGCGTAATTTCTTTCCAAAGTAATCACAGCAAGAGTATATACGCTCAGTTCAGAGCTAAGGACTCCCAAGAAGCCAGCCAGCTGACATCCAGCCGACATTTGCCATGGTATCGCGTACATTCGAAATTCTCCTAAGGTCGATGCATCAACAACAGCCAATAAACCTAAAATACACATCGCTCGTTGAATAAAGATTCCCTCCAAAGAAGACTCGACAATAGAGATCTTTCATCAGTTAGTATAGCCGATATATAGATACTCGGATAACACGTAGATACACAACGGCAACGTTAAATATGGGAGAAATATAAGAAAAAAAATTACCTAGATAAACACCCATAAAAAAATCGGCAGCGGCTAAATTGCAGACTAAAAATCGTGGCACATCCATCTTGCTTCTCGAGAATATCAAGACAAACACTACAGTGCCATTCCCGAGCATGGCAAGGAGGAAGACTATCCATACGCCGCATCGTAAAGTCCACCAGTCGAATAAATCTTGGCACGGTAGAAAAGGACCTGAAAATTTCACATACGAATTAATCAAATAAATGAAATGTTTTGACATCGTGCGTTTGATGCACTTCGAATCATTGTCGATCGTTTGACGTACCAGGTTGTGGCAAGCATTGGATACGAGAGGATATAGTCCGACTCGTTGGTGTTGTTCGACTGTTTAGATTCTCGAAATAATCCTCTACGTAGGAAGGCAGATTTCCGGGGTAGGTAAAATCTGAACCAAAGTTAGCCCAAAATTCATTTATCTGCGATCCGAATTTGTCGGTCAAGTTATCTAAAAAATGTTATCACTTCAGTGCCGCAAAGATCAATGATGAAACATGATGAGGTGGGATGAAAATATTTGCTCTTTATTCAATCTCTATGAGACTATGCAAATGATTTTCAACGACTGAGATCCCATTAGATGCTTTGCAGCAGTTAAGTGTCAAATAAAGCATGATGAAGTATCAAAAATATGAGATAAAAAGGAAAACATGAAGAAAAGTTACTTACCCAACTGTGGCCAGATATCGCTAAATGTTGAATTCCATAAACTAGTATCGAAATCATCAGTGGGAAACAAAATCGATTCCTGTACCGGTGATTTTGTAACAGATTCTTCCATGTCGAGCGAGAGAAATGAGCAACAATGATAAGCATATGACAGCAACATTGTTTGTACTCGTGGAAATCTTTCAGGAGATGGAAATTCTCGCAATGCAGGATTATTAAACGTCTTAAGATGCAATAACCCCGCAAGACCTCTTATCGGTAGTGTAAATTTCCTAAATTTCTATAAATAAATATCTGTATCTTAATTGCGTTCAAATTGATTTGTAAAAATACTGACTTGTAAAACATAATTGTACAGATGCACTTACAAGTCCTGCAATCGTTTCGTTTCTCTGAATGCATCAGGATGTATATATTCAATATAATTATGTTCCAAGTCTCTAACAAAAAAAATGAATGATTTATATTGAATATATAAATTATTAGAAACTCAAAGTAAAATCAGAGTAACTTGATCAAGCGTGTTACACTTACAAAACTTGAAGTCTAGATAATCCGATAAATGCATCACTAGAAATACTTTGTAAGTTATTGTTGGACAAGAGAAGATCGTACAGCATATTTAAACCTTTAAATGCGTCGTCGGGTAATGTAGAAATCATATTACTAGCTAAATCCCTAAAAAAATTTGGACCAAATTAACACTGTTTTCGATATTCAGTGGTTCAAATATATTGCAAATATATTACGATAACTTATTTGCGTATTACGTAACATACTTACAAAACGCGAAGTTCATTACAGTTTCGTAAATTTGGTATCTCCGTCAAAAAATTAGATTTTATATCGCTAAAAATAGAAATAGAATGTATATATAGAATACATATTGATAGAAATAGTAATTATTAATAGGGGAAATAAATAATTATTAAACAGCATTATTACGAACAAATTTCTTTACTAAATAATTTCGATTAAACTTACAGACTTTTGAGTTTCGGACATTGCCGACAAAGATTAGGGGGAATTTCCTTTAATTGGGAACGATCCAATCTTAATACTTCTAAAGATGCTGCCCCATTTAGATTGGGAAAAAGTTGTAATTCCTTCACATTTGACAATATTCTATAATTGATAGAAAAATGTGGAGTTATATTAGTGCAGCATAATTTTGTTTATCGAATAAATTGTTTATCGTGCAGGCTAATCTTCGTAGATGCGGATAAAAACCATAAAATATGGTTGAAAATAAATTACTTACAACTTACGGAGTTTGCCAAGATTCTGGAAGGTTTCGTTATGTATCTCTTTAATAGGATTTCCGCGTAAGTCGAGCGATACTAAATTACTAGCATAGCATAATGCATCTCTCGTAAGTTGTTTTATTTTGTTATTTGATATAGACCTAGAGAGATACATGGAAACATCATGAAGGTGTACTGCATTCAGATAATATTGAGAACAATGCGTTAAGAGAAAAGATAAAAAGATATTTTGAATGAAAAAATTGATTTACAGATTACACTAATTTAAGATAGATACTAATTTAATGGATTTTACAATTCTTGTAAAGTACGCTTACAATTCTTCGAGGCTAGGTAGATTTACAGCAGCAGAAGGTATCTTCGTTAAATAATTTTCATCGAGTTCCCTAAAGATAAGACGGATGAAAAATATTATCTATCCGTTGCGGATAGATGATGATTTATTTTTTATATACTCACAATATACGAAGGTTTGCTAAGTGTAAAAACGCGTCGGCATGAATGGCACGTAGATGATTACGTCGAAGAAATCTAAAAAAATGAAGATTTATAATATATGTCTTATATATGTGGATATATAAGAGTGACTACTTCAAATTCTATGATATATGCACTTTCCTTCGTCATCTTACAATACTCACAAAATTTCGAGATTGGGAAATCGATGGAAAGCACGTATTGGAATGTCCGTTATATTATTGTTGGTCAAATCACTGAAACACAGTACAATAAAACAATTGTATAAAATTGCGTATTACAACAAGGAAATATTCGCAGACATTAAAGATATAGCACGAACAAAATGTGCTTCTCATGTATCTCGACATTGCGACCTGCAGTGTATGTCATGTTCCTATAATGGAAAGCAAAGAGTTGTAATTTTTTCAAACACATATAATAAGATTTGCAGGAGGCAAAGTAAAAAATGTTAGCGGGCAAAAGGTCATTGAGTGACACCTTTTAAAAATAATTCTTTTACGAGAAATGATTTCGAGAAATCGTTGTAATGAATTGTGTTCATTCTACACAGAGAGAAAAATGTTTGGTATTTGTAACTATAATTATATATTACTATAATTATGATTATATTACTGCTATAATAATAATAATAACAGTAACTATATATACAGTTCCAGCAACAAATGTATATAATTGGCAACCTAAAATGACTATAATTATAGTTGTTATAACCATAAAATAGTTGAAATTACATAAAAATATGGTTGTCCCAAAATATAACTATAAAATTATAGTCACTTGAATCATTTTTATGGTAATTTCAACTATTTTATGGTTATAACAACTATAATTATAGTCATTTTAGGTTGCCAATTATACGAGAAAATTATTGTAATTCCACTCCTTCCCACTTGAAGTGACTAGTTAAAGTCATACATATTAAAAAGAACAATTAAAATTTATAACAAAATCGCTAGCTTATAATTAAACTCGGCTCATTGTTAGTTAGTCTGTTGGTAGTCATAGTAACGTATCAATATACTTTTTTCTCAGTATTATATGAAAATTATCTTAGACTTGATCTCTGCAGAATTACCTCACTTCGATCGATAATAACGAAACGAACAACTTGTAAAAATCAGCATAAAACATCGGTTAAAAATGGTGTAGTGCTTTTGCAACAGTCTGAAAAGAAAAAATATAATATCGAGAAAACTCAAACATACGAATCGACATTTCTATTCTTGTATCGCGTGAACGTGAATCGAGAAGAACGGACCGAGGGTTGCGCGGATTCTGGCCCATTTTTATGAGTCTTTCGACCTCCTTTGCTCAGAATGGATCGATGTCTACTTATCCGTTTACCGAACGGAACGAAGAGACAGCGCGATATTCCATTTAATACATAATAAAGAAATAAAGACAAATTAAATTAATTTAATCAAATGAATAATTTTTTTTCTAATGTGCATTTTGATAGTGATTAATTAAAATATAAAAGAAAGTGTGTGCCTATAATGACAGTGACAACTTGTATTGTTAGTAGAAACAATAAAAATGAATATCGGTAACACGAAATCTAATCTGTTTGTGTAAGATTATCGCAAAGTAAGTGGCTAATGAGTACATTTGCCCCGACGCTCGACACGACAACTTTGTTCGCACGCAACCACTGTTCACCGACTTACGTGAAGAAAAATTACAGTTTAATCGTTTAATATTTTTGTGCTTATTTTTAAACATTGACAAACAATTAACTTGGATTTTAATAGAAACATGGAACGATCCAGTTATTCGCTGCACACGTTGTGTCAGCGAACGTACAGTATTTTTCCTCTCGTTCATTCGTCTTAAAATAGAAAAAGTATAAGCAGTGGCGTCTTACGATATTTTGACGCTGGCTTTTTTTTTTAAGTTCCGATGGAACTTTCTCGACGCGCACGAACATTGAGTTCTAATTACGCTTTCGGGATCATGATTCCGTTACAGGTGGGCCTTTGAAAACTTTCGATGTTTCAAGGCCAGCTTGAATTTACCAGTCTTTGTATTTCTAAGGTATTCGGGAAAATATTATGCACACATACATACACACACATACACACACACACATATATATGCAATATATATCGCAATAAAAAGTGTCATTCATCGCGTTATAAATAAAAAAAATGCAAAGCATTTTTAAAAGCTTTCAGAAAGAGACTCGTTCGATATAATTGAGCTTTCGTAATAATACGATTGGACAATATTATTCAGAACAATGCTTACACAAATCTTGATTGTTTTTATTCGCGAGCAAAATTAATTAAGTTCGAGAATGGAATTATTTTCGCAATAGATGTCACGGTCGTACCGCGTCATGAACGTGAAGAGAATGATGAATGGCACACTTTCCGTATTCTTACGATATTATTACGATATTCTTACAAAGGAGCATTACAATCGAATCATATAAAAAAATTTATTAATAAATTAAGACAGAACGTCCTGAGAGTAACTGTGAGAGAAGCAGCGCAATAACAGTCAAGTTCATATTTTGTTTCTTGTTTTATTTTGTCAGAAAGGGGGCCGGAGACGACCACTCGAAATATCTCACGGCAGCGAAAGCCGAGCTGTTACTTTTCAAGGAGGCAAGCGTCGAATTAGATCGATTCGCAGTTTTATACAAGTTTCGATAAAGAGAAAAGTAAAGTGGTACTTTTATAAAGAGGGATCCGTTAGATGACAAAACCGCAGGCCGCGAGTAACTCGATGAAGAAAGTGAAGTGAAGAATGTGACTAGAATTCGCTCGTTTTCTTGATCCTAAATCACGATCCATAGAATACCGATTGTCGTCCCATTTGAAATGTAGGTCGCATCGTGGTGTATGTATAGAATATGGCGTTACTTGTTTTATCTTTCCTATCGCTCAATCGAAACTTTTCGCCTGATTATACTTTAAAATTGACGCAGCCGACGAAAACGATAAACTGACAAAGAAACCTGAAAAGAACACGCGTCAAAGACAAGTAATTTGCATATTTAAAGCATCGTTTTTCCGCTCTCCTGTACATCTCGCTCACCGCAAAATGAGCCGTAGGTATATTAAAAGCAAGAATAATACAGAGCGATATTTTTTCAGTTGTATAGACGCGACGGGTCCGCAAGGCCTAGAATCGTATGTAGGACGCGCGATGACAAGCGTCCGTTACATTTACCTTTCAACTGCAACTGCAAAGATTTAATCAATTTACGCTATACATTCACATAAGTATTATATTTTTTTTTCTATATATGCATAATCCAATGTGCGATGGATATTATCATTTTCAAAAGCATTAACAAAAGCAGAATGTACGTACCACGGAAAACGATTACGATTCGAATGCACCTGTCATTTTATATATATAACAAAAATTTGCATCGGGCGAGGCATCATTTTGCGAAATCGTAGAGAGACGTAGAAAAGCGGAGAGCCCATCTCGCGCGATGTAGCATGGATATTCCTCTCCGCTACACTTTCCAATCCAATCAATCCTTCAATCTTCCGCGGAGATTATCGAGATTGACGCAAAGTGATACGAGGTACTCACATCTTTGTAACATTAACAGGAACAATAGCCTTTGATGACAGATGAATATCGGAGATGAATTCAATGGAGAGTAGATTGGCGCCACGGCACAGCAACTCCCGTCCATCGGCGATAACGTTACACGGGGTTACGTCCAGTGCACCGCTCTGACAGCAGCGGATCCGCGAGAAAAGGATGATCGCCAAGATGACCGCTATCCCGCACCGACGAGACCGCGTGCACATACCGGCCGACCCTGTACCTGTACGTGTCCACCCGCGTAACTCACTTTCGCAGCTCTCTTTCCTGCTGGATACACCGCGCCCAGGGCGAAGTCACCTCACCATTCTTCCTCGTGCTGTCCTTGGACGTCCGTACGTCCGTGGTCCACATCCGGGCACGCGTGTGACCGTCAACGCGAGCACCCCCATAAGGAGTTGTCGCCACCACCACCGACGTTGTCGCAACCACCAGACCACCACCACTACCACCACCACCACCGCCACCACTATCACCGCAGCCGTCACCGTCCTGTACCGTTCTATCTGCTGCTGCTGTGCTGTTGTTGCTACTGCTGCACCTTAAAGGGAAGGAAAACGGTAGAGATGACAGAACTAGTTCGAAAATTGCAATCTTCAGCTTCAAAGAGACTCCACCGTTCACTCCGCGGTACAGTCACCAACTGATTCGATATTACGCATGGCATGGTGCCTGCACGGATTTCATATATCGTGCATCCCCCCTACTCATCTCGCCATCCTGTCCCCCAACACCCACCCTGAATCATTCGACGGACTTGACTTTCTCGATCCTGCCGTGCGCGATGCGACCAGATGCGACACAAGATGCGACGGCTGTAGAATTTGTTGCCTTTAGCGGACAGCGGAGATTGATTCGCTAGATTTGTATTCGACCAAATAGTTTTGCTATGACATTTTTGCAATAGCTTCGCGCTGCGGAGAATATATAACAATACTTATATATAATGCTTACAATTTTGCTCATAGTATATGTATTATTATCATAACTCAGGTTCGATATTCCTTTTTGGACCGCGTCTCAAAGGGACTTTTCAAATTTCTTAATTTGTTATCATCATTTATTATCCTTCCCTATAAGCGCATAATATTATTTAACATTAAATAATATTTTAGGCATATTCTCAGAATATTAAATATACCATTTTAATAATATTTTACTAAAATTATATAATATTAAATAATATTCCTGAAATATTAATGGATGGT